AACGCTCGTCAGAGCAGTTGCCATGAAAATATTTGTAGAAAAGACAGAGAGAAGCGACGTCACATCTATGAGAAAGTGACTGAAGTCGAGATGCCAGGTCAGGATCGATTACATTGCAGATTCTTCTTTAGATTTGTTAAAGAACATCGAGACAAATAGGAGGAATTGAAACCTATTTTTACTAGGTCAATAGTTTATTGTTGGTATGTGTTTTATGTTATTCACTTAATCTAAAAATAATATATCCAATATATGTGTTAACCATATTTGTTTTATTTTAACAGCTGTTTTGTATTGGTGAAAACATTCACATTTCAAATTGAGATTATGGATTTTCATATAACGAAGTACTGTTGATAATGAGACAACGAAAAAGCAGTTTAGACTACACGTTTCGCTTCTTTATATCTGGCTGGAATAAAAATTAAACCCGTGTGTAAGTCGGAATTCGAGAAAGGTATAATAAACATTATTAGATACGTTAGCCAGAAATTTAAAATTTTTCTTTTATCTGTTAACGCCCGCTGGATTCGAAAATACCCATTTCCGCGTAGATCCAGCAGACGTTAACGGCCTTCTAGCCGTTGCATCTGACATGGATTTTAATTATTTCTTCCTCAAATTCAAATGCACGTATCTTATAAGTAAGTTTGCCTCCCAGTCCCGCCTGAAGACGCCTACTATAAAAAAAAGAAAAAAAAAGCGATAGGCATAGACTCTACAGGACTGCATCTCATTATCTTCACTTCAAATCTATCGTTAACTGGGGCAAAAGAGAGCTATTTATCTTGAGCTCCTTGATAAATCCAAAGAAGAATCAGCAATATTAACGGCCCTGGTCTGACAACTCGGATTCAGTCAATTATCCACTGCCGTAAGGTTGCCTCACTGTGTCTTTTCTATAAATACTTTCATGATAATTTTTTGGATGAGCTCTTCGTAATGCTCATTGGCCCCTTTTATTTCTGTCCCTAATTTTCTTTAAGTTTTATTTCCCCATCCCCTCCCTCGTTAGGTGGTCAGTGATGTCAGTTCGCTGGTGGATTCGGAGCGCCTTTCGTTTCGCGTGAGTGGTTTTTTCGTATTTGTTGTCGCGTCTGAATGAGTGCATGTCAGTGTGAGTGCGTGGGAGGTATGAATGGTTTACACTATTATAGTCCCGCATTGATTTCGGCCAGTGAAGTGATGTTTCTGTCACATGTAGTGATTGTGGGGGGCTTTTATTACTAATCTTATTTTCTTTAGTTTCTTGTAAATAGTTTTTTGTATTCTTATTGTAAATACTCATTGGGGTTAACTTTTAGAATTGTTGTTTTATTCTCCTCTCCCCGCACAGACATCGAATTGTAAATATGGGGACTAGTTAGTATTTTCATAGAGTCAAAGAGGTATTATGGTGGTTGTAGTAAAAAAGGTACGTATGAATGTGTTGTTTTGGTGCAAGGAATATTGTTTCGTAAGATTGGGTCAGTGTTTGCGGCTAGCTAAGTTATAGTTAAGACAGAAGAAGACCGTCCTTTCCACAATCCCCTTTTCGGCCTTGTGCCACATTTCTGTAGATAACAGAATAAATATTGCTCTTCGCAGTGCTGATGGCCCCTTTTATTTCTGTACCAATTTTTTATTTGGATTAATTTACCATCTCCTCCCTCGTTAGGTGGTCAGTGATGTCAGTTTCTGGTGAATGCAGGGCGCCTTTCGTTTCGGGTGTTTTTTTGTATTTGTTGTACCTGAATGAGTGTGTGTTTGTGTGAGTGCTTGGGATGAATTAATGTTCTATATCATTAAAGTCCCGTATTCATTTAGTTCATTTAACTGATGTTTCTGACATATTTAAGGATTGAAGGTGTGTGTGTGTGGGGTTATTACTAGCATTATTTTATTTGGTTTCTTGTAAATGTAATACTCATTGGGGCTTTTTTATTGTTGTTTTATTCCCCTCCCCCACAAACAGTGAATAATACATATTGGGACTAGTTCGTATTTTCATAGAGACAATGTGGTATTATGGAGAATGTAGTAAGAAAGGTAAGTAAGAATGCGTTGTTTTGGTGTTAGGAATATTGGTTGAATGTTTGGGCCATTTTCTATTTCTTTAAGACTCCCAGGAATCCTTTCAAAGAGTCTATTTGAACAATTTCAAATCAATCCGAGGGACCCAACTACAACTGAAAATATTGATGTCCTCATGGGCCACATGTTTATTTCCAATTCAAGATCTTTGTAATTTTATAGTTTTTTTGAAGATCTTCAAAGATATATTACATTATTATTATTATTATTATTATTATTATTATTATTATTATTATTATTTATTTTCTTTGATTTCTGGCGTTTACAAATTTCTTTCCGGGTCCCGCCCAGGGACCTAAGGTTAGAAATGGCATCATGACACTTTCCACTGACAAAAAATAAAATTAAAGAATAAAAAAATAAAAATATTTTACATAGATAAAGCCCATCGACAGAACAATTTTTGTATCTCCTTTAGGCATAGACTTCCAGGAATCCCTTCAATTAGTCTACTGCAATCTTTTCCAATCAGTCCTAGGGTTCCAACTACAACAGGGATTGTTGATGTTACCATATTATTATTATTATTATTATTATTATTATTATTATTCCTTTGATTTCTACTGTGTATCCATTTCTTTCCAGGTATCGACCAGAAACCTAAGCTCAGAAATAGCATCATAGATACTTAGATAAAGACCTTCGTAAGGTTTCGGCTCTACTTGTAAGTACAATTTTTTATATTTCTTTGAGTCATGGGCTACAAGGAATTCCTTCCTTGAGTCTATTGGAATTTTTTCTAATCAATCCGAGGGATCCAACTGAAAATGGAATTGTTGATGTTCTCATGGGCCGCATTTTTGAGATTTCGATTTCAAGGTCATTGTAGTTTGATAAGTTTTGAGGATTATTATTATTATTATTATTATTATTATTATTATTATCTGTCTATATTTCTGAAATGAGGTATTATAACTATTTACACTATTTACATTGTTTAGACAGTTGTCGTCAGGTTTATTGCCATATTCATGAAGTTTCGACCATTGACCCTCCGGTCTTCTTCAGGTGATATCCGCTGAAAATTCGAAGCGAACAAGCATGGCCCATTGGATAAAAGCGTTGGTTGACGCAATCCAAAATTTGATTTGACCAAAAGAGTTTTCAGTTCAGTAACTGGCCACAGCACAGAGAACAAAAATTTGGAGAGTTGAGTTACTAAATTGAATTAACTTAAAATGAGATATCCAAAAAAAGGTATGACAAGTGGAATTAGAATAATCTATCACCCTGGACTAAATGAAGGTTTCGGTTCAAAATTGCAACGTATGGGGCCACAGAAGTAACTTTTTTTAAGAGTATCAGCAAAATCAATGTTTATTTTGAATGCGTATGTTATTAAAATAAGTCCATTGCAGAATCATAAGCTAATGAGTTGAAGTATCTATGGATGATACTAGAATCTGGTGTAAAAACCCAATTCATATGATCTCAAAATACCGATGTGATTGGTCGTTTTCTCTGAGACATGCAGCGCCTGAACCGCGAGCAACGTAGGTATCTTGAATTCGGTTGAATCTATTCATAGCCTACATTTTATCAGTTGCATCTATTGTTGCTGATTGCAAAGGTGACCACATATCTGTCAACACTTCAGGGGCCCTAAAATGTAGGTTCGATATTTCTGGTCAATCCAATATATATATATATATCGACATATGAGGGTCAAGCAGATCAGTTCCTAGGAACCGATAACTGGACGCCAGCACATATGATTTAATTATAGTGGTGAAGGCTTTGTGCAGAATCATCCACACTTTTTGAAGGGCCGAATACAGAGACCTGGTACATTTACATGCCACAACGACCCTTAGTAAGTTTTGAATTCAGCGTTGTCTTTCTCCTAGACCAGTTGCCATCCAAGGCTGTAGAAGCCAGTTTGTGCTGCTATTTACCCATAGCTGGAAGGAGAAGAAAAAGATTCACACTTTTTCCCAGGGTATTATCACGTAAGTGAATGTAATGGATTCGAATGGAATTCGAACTCGGCTCACCCTGCCTCCTTCTCCGGATTATCTGTATATATATATATATATATATATATATATATATATATATATATATATATATATATATATAAAACCTTCTTATCAATGTAATGGCAGGTGGAGAGGAGTCCGTTAAAACCGTTTGTCCATAGATGGGAAGGGTTCATTTTTCGTAAGGCCATAAGGCCATTATAGTAACTAACATTAGTTATGATCATAATGTAAATGTTTAAATAAATATATATATATATATATATATATATATATATATACAGATTACCGTATATATAATCATATATGCATATATATACAGTATACCCACATACACACGCACATATATATATATATATTAATATATATATGCTGTATATATTTATATACGATATACGTATGCTGTATAATCGTGAAGACTGATGATTGCGTTTAAGCATGAAACAGACCGCCGCCCTCGGTTCTGACCTTAAGGTCAACTTTTGTATATAAGAATTGGAAATACCGTTTAAAACCACAACCCCTGAAGACTGGAAATCTTACCAAGAAACATCGATGTCGTGATAAAATTGATATTTAAAAGAAAGATTTTTATATAATATATATATATATATATATATATATATATATATACTAGTGTACTGTACTGATGCGGCATTCACCCTGGGCGGATTGAGCCGGCTTCTTCCTGTTATGAGAAGAAGATTCTTGGGATAAATTACAGAAGTAGGGTACCCAGGCCTACTCGGATAACGTTCTTGCTTGCCGCGGGATTCCCACAGATGCAGAGACAGGAACGACCAGAAGCCGCCGGTTGCCGATGCAGACGCTCCTTGGATTTTGGCCCTTTTAGCCGGCGTGTGTGTCAGACCTGCGTTTTGGGTGGCCCTACCAGGAACGATGTTGGACACTACCGTTTACTGTGAGATAAGGGTTGGACTTTGGGGG